ATATATATATATATATATATTGTTTTTCTTCTTGTGGCATTGTGAAATCACAAAAGGCACATGGGTCGTTCCTTGGGGTGAAACTGGTATTTTTCTGTTTGGGAGGAAAGGAAAACTGTCATACTCTTAAAATTGTGGTTTTGTGATCAGGGCACACGAAAAAGAAAATTGAAACTGTCCAAACATTTCAAATTCTACAACTTTTGTATATTTAAAGAATAGCAAATAATAACTCATTTGAATTTATTTAATTCTTTGCAACTTCTATTATGATTTTTGCTATATTCTTAGAGCTGAAGTGCTAGAAAGCAATGTTTATAGAAAAAAAAGAAGGAAATAAATCGTTTCTTTTTAAGTAATCAATTTTTGATAGCAATTTATTGAAAATCTATTGGCAATCACCACAGATTTCATGTTGAATATAATAACGTTTTATGTTATGTTGCAGCGTTTCGAATAATAAATGAAAAATGTTTTACTTCAGAACTGTGTTGGAAGGGGTTAGGGTGAAATAGCTATTAATATACCTAGAAATGTAAAAACACTGTAACATTTCGTTGTATGTTCAGCATTTTATCGGTCACCATAAAATCTCACAATTTATGCGAAAATTAACATTACTGCGATAGTTAACTATGAATTCTGTTGCTGCGGCACGTTACTGCGATATGGTGGGGTGTTGCTTGCGATATAGCTATGTAAACACTTTTGTTATACAGTGATTTGAGAAAAGATCGATGCAAATAATTCTCCTGAACCTAAATATACTTCAAGAAATGACGTTCGATGAAGTTGGCGCGTCGACTTCCCATAGTGACACCTTCAGATCGTCGGTAAATATGATTACCGGAAAAGAGTTTCATTTGGTGGAATACCAAGAAAATGAGGTTAATTTGCCTAATAAATTTTTGCACTATTAATATTACAATTAATAATTATCCCCAAAACTAATATGAGTTACTTTTATTGTGAATTGTTTGAATCTGATTTGTATAAAACATCGTCATTTTTCTTAATAAATATTCGACTTGCGATAAATCGATAGTTCTTTATTTACGTTGCTAAGGATGTTAAATTTCTTAACATACAGGGAGATACAAGTGCACTTAACAAACATAAGGGGTTGCATGTTAACACTGGTTAAAGACGCATGTGACCGATAAACGTGTCCGTGGACCTTCGAGGTGTGCGAGTGGACGTGGCACGAACCGATGTTTTTGTGTGTTAGTTTTTTCGGATAATCTTATGCAAAAAAATGACAATTAGTAATTTTTATATTGACATATGGGGCAAACGGGACGAAGCAAAATGCGGACAGTTTCGGTGCCCTGATAACGGTTTTCGGGGTAACCGAGACAGTACTTAGAAAAACGGGACTCTCCCGTATTTTACGGGACATACGAACCCTAAATTGCATTCCAAACCTAATTATAATCAAGATTCTAAAATCAAGATCAGAATCTCACATACCCAAGAGAGGACACATAGGGCAATGAGAACAGCTTTTCAGCCATTTATCTTTGCACTAATATAAGGGAATTCAACGACATGTAACCGACATGAATAGCATAAAAAGTAGAGTATGAATAAATACGAGATTTTTACAGGTTCTATTTTAGGACTATCGCAGTTTCATTACAAAGTTGGGTGAAGATTAATACAACACAAAGGCAGAAAAAAAAGTTGGTAGATGCACCACGATCATTATCATTATCATGTTGGTAAATATGCGTTGTTTAGGATGTTTTATGCTAATACAGGGGCTTGTCCAACACATTTTACACTGAAGAGCCAAAAAACTGATACACCTGCCTAACACGTGAGCCCACAGAGGTGCCGCAATATGACGTGGCATTAACTCGACTAATGTCTGAAGTAGTGCTGGAGGTAAATGACGCCATGAATCTTGCAGGGCTGTCCACACACTCGTAAAAGTACGAGGGGGTGAAGATCTCTTCTCAACAGCACGTTGCAAGGGATATCAGACGTGTTCATATTGTTCATGTCTGGGGATTTTGGTGGCTAGTAGAAGTGTTTAACTTCAGAAGAGTGTTCCTGGAGCCACAGCAAATCTGGACGTGTGGGCTGTCGTAGTGTCCTGTTGGAATTGCCTAAGTCCGTCGGGATGCACCATGGACACATGAATAGGCGCAGATGATTAGACAAGATGTTTACGTACGTGTCACCTATCAGAATAGTATCAGGGTTCCCATATCACTCCGACTGCATACGCCTCATTCCATCACAGAGCCTAAACCAGCTTGAACAGTCCTCTGTTGACATGCAGGGGATTAATGAGGTTGCCGCCATACCCGTACACGTCCATCCGCTCGAAACAGTGTGAAATAAAACTCGTCAGACCAGGCAACGTGTTTTCAGTCATCAATAGGGCAATGTCGATCTTGACGGGCCAAGACGAGGCGTAAAGCTTTGTGTCGTGCAGTCATCAAGGGTACGCGAGTGAGCCTTCGGCTCCGAAACACCATAGCGGTAATGTCTCGTTGGATGGATCACACGCTCACACTAGTTAATAGTCCAGCATTGAAATCTATAGCAATTTGCGGAATGGTTGCTCTTCTGTCACGTGTAATGATTCTCCTCAGTCGTCGTCGGTGCCCTTCTTGTACCTTTTTTCAGCCACAGTCACATTCTCCTCAGTCGTCGTCGGTGCCGTTCTTGCATCTCTTTGCAGCCACAGCGAAGCCGGAGGTTTGAAGTTTTACCGGATTCCCGATATTCACGGTACACACGTGAAATGGTCGTGTGGGAAAATCCAAATTTCATCACGACTTCAGAGTGCTATGTCCCATCTCTCTTACGCCGCGTTCAACTCACTTAAATCGTGATAACCTGCCAATGTAGCAGAAGTAACCGATCTAACAATTGTGCCAGACTGTAATTGTCTTATACAGTCGTTGCCGATTGGAGCGCCGTATTCTGATTGGTTCCAGATCTCCTTATTTCAATATGCATGGCTGTACCTATTTTTTGGCCCTTCAGTGTATGTCAGACACGGTGTGCGCGGCCAACGCATTGTGTGCTTTCGCGTGCGTCCTGCATGCGTTCGTGGCACAATACACACGCAGAATGCAATGCTTCGCTACTCAATTCCAATATGAGGATAAAGCTCGGGCCTTCAACTGACGAATCGTACTACAAACTGCATTTCAGGCAAAATAATAATGTAACGTTTCTTAGAGGTGAATTAAAACACAAGTAATATTTTAACAAAGATGTTAATTTTGTTTCTTAATGACTCTCTAAAAATACTTGATTTATGTGTAGATAGGTTGTATAGTCCTTGTGTTCTTCACTTGGATATTTCCGTACACATGACTCACTTATATTGGTTATTTATTTATACTGCTCATTTCTTCTGATTATTTATTCACACCGTTCACTTCTACACTATCGCACAGTCCGATGCACCTACCA